TATTTATTTTAGTATATACTTATATTTCAAAAAATACATGAAAAGAATTATAGGTTTTGGTTACACTAAAAAGAACTAGTTAATTTGTACATAATGTTTAAAATGTTTTTATTTTTTATAATAATATAAACTACTCTCAAAAAAAAATCTAAAATTCTTGTGTTTTATTAAGTTAATAAATGTAAGAAATAAGAATATATCTAACTTAAAAGAATGACCATAATTAGGTGAAGAAATATTTAATGCTTCAATTTTAGCTAAGTTTTTTTTTGCAAATTACTTAATTGAAAGAAAGAGATGATTGATTATTTTACTTGCAGAAACAAACATACTTCAAATACTAATTGGATCTGAATCACCATTTTGGTGGTTTTACTGAAATAGGCATGTCCTGAAAATCAATTAAAAAAATCGTTTTTTAATAATGTATGGATGTATATCTATATATATATATATATATATGTATGGTTAGTGCATAAATTTTTTGATGATTTGTTAAATGTTAAAACATTAAGGTCATGAAGAGCAAGTTTTTACATGTGTTGAAAAAGATAATAATTATAATGATGTCAAGGAATTGATTCAACAAAGAGAGACAAGCTGATCTTTTAACAAATGGTTTTTTATTTTTTTTTAATAAAAAAATTAGATGTATCAGTAAAACAATTTTACAATAAATTTTTGGGATTTTATTTTTCTCTTCTCTTATGTGTTATGTTTCTTTCATTCAATCCAAAGATTGTTGCATGTTCAAGAAATTGATACACCAAAACACAATTATTTGCCTATTTTTCAATCATGCTGGGGTTAAGATTTCTAACAACTTTGTCTATGAACAAGTTCAAACTAGAAGCTCAAGGACAAACACTACAATCCATGATGATGGTGTAAGATACAGACACATCCCAAAGCAGATTGCTGCAAGGAATGGCAGATTTGAACCCTCTCCAGGGAGTGGGAGAAGGGGAAGAAGGAAAATAACAAAACAAAACAGAGTGACCCAATTCTAAGTCAACACCAGATGAAATGAGTCGAGTCAACACATAAAGCCACTCATTTAATGTGCTTTCAAAATGTAAAAGCTCTGAAGCACAGGAGGCAAGGAGACCACCCTCCAAGTCCTCTTTCTTTCATTCTTTCTATCTGTACATCTGTCTATCTATTAAAATATCTATCTTGGGGGAAGGGATATATGCACCTGCTTGGCTTGGTTGAGTGGGGGGGGGGTGCATTTGCAAATCCAGACTCCAGAGGGGAGGATGAAGATGAGGATGCAGATGGATGATGAAGAAGGGGTCAGCCAGAAGAAGAAAATATAATAAATGGTGCAAATGAAGGCAGAGCACAATGGAGACTATGCTTATGTTGGAGGAGGCTGTTGTGATGGAGGCCCCACAAGCCAGTTTCAAACACCACAGATATGCAGGGGATGAAGCATCAATCTTGTTGCACAAAAGTATATACACATGATACCACATCAAGGCTTTGTATTTAAAGCTTACATACTTATATATAATTTTAGACATTGTACATCATTTGCATACACTTTAAATTATATATGTGTGTATGTATGTGCACATTACTAGCACCCTACAAAATCAATCATCATTTTTCAGCCATTGGTAAAAAAATCAGTAATTAATATGACAGGGGTACATACTTCATGAATACAACAGTTAGTATCTTCATATAACAATCATAGAGCATTACTAACAATGGGACCAATCAATACACACATACTCTCAGATGTTATTTCCACACCTGCACACCACATAAAATGTTATTATTAATCATTCTGGAGACCATAGATTTATTAAACAAACATTCCCCAAAAATTCAACAGCATATGAATTTAAATCTCTAACGTCATGCATGCACAAACCATTTCCTTGTCATTTCTTTAGAAGCAAAGATGGTTATTTTTATATTTTTTAAAAAACTTGTACACTCATTACTGTTCATATTTTCTTTTTTATTTGCATCATACCCAACAGTACCATACATTGTTTTTAAACTGCAGGAAAATAGGCATATATATATATATATATATATATGTAGATGAATATATTTTTCATTCATTGTTTTCCATCCATTCAACCATTAGAGCTAATTTAAAGAAGGAAATGGGAATCTCAAGCAAATTTTCAAGGTACTAAATGTGCATAGAATTGAGCCACCACATAAGTATGTGCAATTGCTTTTATGTGAAGGGTGGATAGCCATGGTGGTACTGGAGTTAAACACCATGGCCATAAAGAAAGCAAAGAGGTTGGTGAGGAGGATATTGCCATTTCTTTGCCGTTGTGAGGCACCTTTGTACCTCAGCATCTGCAGTTTTGGAGTACAGGAGTACCACAACATGAGAGATAGTTATATATATATATATACATATATATAGCCACACCACATGAGGGTTAGTAATATATTTATATATACACAGAAATATATATATATATAGAGAGAGAGAGATAGATAGATGGATATGTAGCCACCTCATGGACTGATGTCAGATCTGTGGTGTTCTCACAAGCCCGATTTGGCTAAACCCTCACTATTTTTGTTGGTCAATAAAATGCTATCCATATATCTATCTTTCTATCTATCTATCTATCTATCTATTATTATTATTATTATTCATTTATGTTGATTTTTTTTGTAATCAACTTATTATGCTTTGAATATGTTGGGCGCCACAACAAGAGTGTAATGGGTTGTTGTTTGGTGTTTAGCTTACCAAGAAAAAGGATGGAGAAAGTTCCACATTACACTTGGATGTTGGTGTGGACTTGGATGAGCATGCAGGGATTTTCCTCAACTTGGTAGTTTGTGAAAAGTATTTTAAAACCTCTTGAAATGAAGGATTTAAAGCATAAAAAATTCTTAAGGATGTATTTGAATTAAGGTTGGTAAAAATTTTAAAATCAGAATCTTATGCAACATTAATCCATTAGAAAAAAATTGTGCAAAAAAAATACCTTAATTAATCAATTAATTAATTTCATTTGGAAATTTCATCTCTTGCATTCTTCAAATATAAAAAAAGAAAAAGATCAAATATTCTCATTTAAAATAGATTTGCTTCAATAAGGCTGTACCAAAAAAAATAAAAAAAAAAAAATAACATCAATTTTTTATTAAAAAAATTATGAATTTTACTTTTACATTTTATGCCCAAAACATGGTGTTAAATGACTTCACAAACTCACACAATAGTTTAGACCAAATCCATGACTTTGATTTGGTGTCTTATTAGAAAGCAGAGGGAGCACAGTTTGTGTGCATGGGAACTTGGATGAAGCTAAAAGGCGGATAGCAATAATCCAAGCAGGCATTCAAATGCCACGCCTGCCAAGACTATCAGCAATACTCCCCCTTTGGCTCAGGCAAATAATTCCACTTGATTTTGCTTGGTTCCAGTGCAGCAACACCCAGAGTGCATCAATCCATAGAATCTCCTCATCAATGACTCTCTTCAGCTTTAATGGTTGTACATACACAAATACATACATATAGTATACGTTAATTTGGATCTATCTTGACAGAATTCAGTACAATAGGTTCGGCTGGTTCATTAAGTAAGAGGTAGCAAGCTCACCAGGAAGCACACAATCGGCACAGCCATACTGATTCAACCCATTATCAGCTAAAAGGGATTCAGTACTATAGTAAAAGATCTATGAAGAGGCCAGATGGATAAAAGAAACGAAACTGCAAAAGAAAGGGGGGGGGGTGGAAGGTGAAGCAAGGGGAGCCGGCAGAATGCAGCAGCAGTTTGCAGGTGGAATCAGTTGTTTCAGGTTTCGAGAAGAGGGAGGGAAATGGAAGTCTCGGAAAGCAAAACGGTGCTTGGAATGAAACAAAACCTGGTGATCATGCGGAAGGTAAAGCCTCCACCTTACCGCGCCAGAAGAGTCGACGAACTGAAGGATTTTCATGTGTTGTTTCAATGAAAACTAGCCTTAATGGGGACACTAATACAGCACGCGTGGTGTACTGAGGTGAGCTCCCTGCTGCACTGCCGTGCTGAACCCAGCAGCAGCTTCAAGCGGGGGAGAGATCAAGATTAATAACCGAACGATTCACAGTAAGTCAGAGCTGCGCAGAAGCAATCTTTGATTTCCAGAATTAGCCAGACATGTCTGACTTGCTGTAACGTCTCCACGGTCTCGAGTCTGCGTCTGCGTCTGCGTCTCCACACTTCAGTACACATTATGCCTCGATTAATGGACATAAATAATCGTTAGTGGATTCAGCGATCTGTCCTCCGCATTCCAGTGCCCAATCCCGCATCCAGTTGCCGCGACTGGGCTGCTATTTCAACGTCGCAGCATTACAACAACCGAAGGGTGGGGCCCAGATGGTATTCTCTCTCTCAAACTGGACCGAGGCAGCCTAAATTCCGCTCCTTGTCGTCCCAGTCTTCGAGCTTTATCGTGTGATGGTGGTCATGGCCTGCAATCAGGCTAAGGTGGTGCTCGTCCCATGCGTCCAATTGAACCAGAGACCATCGTGAGTTATCTGGGGAGTGATGATGATGTTCCAGTACTCTTGTGCGTCGCATGCTGCGCTCATGCCTGTGCCCGTTGGTGAGTTGTTTGGCTCCACGAGGGCACCCACTGCTCAGCTTGTACAGGACGGAGATAGAGAGAGAGGAGAGCCCGGATGAGAGATAGGAGTGTGAAGAGGGCCTGAGGGAAGTTGAAGCCGTTTCACCCGTCTACTTGTTGCGTAGTCCGTCCATCAGTCCTATGCATTGGTGTGTGATGTGTAGGCTTCTACATCAGAATCCTGTCTTCTAGTCTTGCTTTCTCATTCGAGCGGATTGGACAATATCGCTTTCTAGAGTGTGCGTAGATTTCTGAAACACTAGCGCTTGTGCAGCACGCTTGGGGAGTCCTATACCTCGACTCCAGGCTCGAAGCAGGCTCCTCTTGTGCAACCGAATGCACCATGATGGAGCGATTTCGGGGTCTACCTACACCACTATGTAAGGATGCCCTCATCACTGTGCATTTTTGTTCGAACTCTTACTCTCTTCCGATCGAAACATCGCGAGATCTCATTATCCTACTCTTGGCTTTAATGGTGAGCTCGCAAGCTTCAGCATACGGATTTCTTGGGTTTCGTGGTGTTCTCAGTCTGGCAGCTAATATACAGCTCAGTTCAGCTCTAAGGAGAGAAGCATCCGAACTTTGGTGCTACCTTTGCTTCCCTTTTGAATGTTTTACGCTCTTCATTATTTCATCGGTGTGCAATCCTCGGTGAGTATCTTAGGGCCTCGTCAACACATATGTTCTGCACACCCCGTTTACAGCCCATTCTCGCAAGCCCTGCATGTCACCAACGATTCTGAAATGAAATCGTTGACGCCAGACACTCGAAAGGTCCTTTGCCCGCTTCAGTCATTCTCCATTAACTTAAATGGTATCCTCTGCGATGCTCTCCCGGCAAGAGCTGCGTACATACTTTGAGAGTTGCGAAGCGTCGACTTGAGGTTCTATTGGCAGCTGATTGATTGTTTGTGCCCTGTTTCTTACTGTTGCAGGTACGAACGTTCACCCTAAGTAGAGATTCAAGGTTGTAACCTGCAGTGACCATGAACTTGACTCGGTTGCATGATTAGCTTCGATATGGGCAATCGAACTTGACTCATAGGAGTATTTCTAAAAGAGAGTTGATTTAGTTTCTAATGAAAAGGTTGGAGTTAGTGAGGATTGTTATCTAGCAAAGCACAGCTATAATAAAGCGTGACCCCGAATAACAAAGACAAGAACAGAGAGCCTCGTGAAATTTGGAGGGTGCTCACCTAAGTCATCCACTCATGAGGTAATGTTGGAATTCCGAGGTTCGTCGAAGGGCGAGATGTCCAGTCGGAGGGTGGTGTGGTTCCTTGCCACAATGAAACTAATTTAGGTTTTTAGCAGGGCAATAAGTAGTTCTGAATCGTCAGGTCCTGAGATAGTCAACGCGGCTTCAGAAATCGGAGTTTCCTGGAGAGGACCTTTCATTTAATCGTCCTGTGACGAAGGGAGTACTTGTCTAACAGAGGAACGCCTCATGTCTGTATGCGAGAGCATTGATCTTAATCGTGCTTCGTTATCGATTTAAGGCTACATTTGTATCTGCAAGAGTTGAACCGGTGAGAAATTTTCTCTTCTTCGATTCTTGACTAAACAACATGCCATGAGTCGGCAAGAGCTCTAGCTTGAGAGACAATGCCTCCCAGGCGGATCTTGCAGGCCAATGCGCCCTATGCATACTCGCCTCTCTTATTATCTCCAGACACTGTGGGACACCCTAATCACCACCTTGCACTGGGTCTCGGACTTGGATGCAGCTTGGGTGTAATCCTCGTAGCCCTCGTGGCAGCCTTGCTTGTCTATCATCGGCTGAAAACTAGCAGGACAAATCCATACGACCTTTACACCTCTAAAAATCTCCAGAAATTTTCGTATCGGCATCTCAAGAGAGGGACTGCAAATTTCTCCGAAGAGCAGAAACTTGGCCAAGGGGGATTTGGGGCAGTGTACAAGGGACGTCTTCGCAACGGCAGCGAAGTTGCAGTGAAGAGAATCGACGTTTCCTCAGTACAAGGTGAGGTTGCTTTCCAGAATGAGGTTTCAATTGTTGGCCGAATTGCCTCTCCGCACATTGTCCGGCTTCTGGGATTTTGTGCACAAGGTCCACGGCGTCTACTTGTATATGAATTCATGGGTAATCGAAATTTACAAGAGACCCTCTTTGATGAAGTGTACGCTGTTCCATTAAACTGGGCCATGCGTCTCAAGATTATTCTTAACGTTGCTGAAGCATTATCCTATTTACATTTCAAGTGTGATCCCCCGATCATCCACGGTGATGTGAAACCTAGCAACGTGTTGCTAGACGCAAACTTTCAGGCCAAGCTTGCAGATTTTGGCCTTGCTCGGGTTAAGACTGAAGAAAGCATCCTCGATGTTCAAACCCAGGAAGTACAGAGAGAGGCCATCGAGAAGGAGAGGATACGGTATGAAAGGGTAGTGCGTGATCGAGCCAAGCGGCAGAGACGAAGAGAGGAAGCTGAGAAGAAGAAAATGGATGACATCAGACAGGCTAATTCCGTGAAGGGAGAATCAATGGAATCGTTTGCGTTTGATCCTAATCCCGAAGGAGATAGGAAAAGCTCAGCTTCTTTATTTGATGGTCTGTCGACTGAGGAAGAAACGAGCGGCTTAACCTTGGAGTCTCCTTGCTCGAAGGGAGGAAATAATACACCAACCAGCATGGCAAGAGATTCATGTTGTGACCACATTCCCCACTGCAGCGATGGAGTTCGTGGTACTGCGTTAGAATCTCCAGTTTCCAAAGAAATTAGGTCAGATGCGGAAGGAGATAATTTCATGAGTGCAGAAGGAGAGACCGATCTGGACAAGAGTGTGATTCTCAGTGTGGACGGGACCGGGGAGGAAGGGTGGAGCACTGTGAGCCCCTCGCAACCTGATTTGGAGTTTAACTTCGAAACTACCGAGGTTCTGAAGCAGAAAGGAGTCAAGGGAAATGGACTGAGGTCGTGGAGCCGAGAATGGTGGCGAAAACAGGAAAAGGATGATGAAAGTGTTAGTCATCACCTCCAAGACTCGGATTCTAAGAGCACCAGAAGCACAAAAGGGGTCCAACGAAGCGGAGATCATGCAACAGAAAGCGAAACACGTCGACCCAAGAACCGCTCGAATCTTCGAAGGCAGAGGTCGAAAAGCTCTGGTTGGATAAGCGCCATCGTAGGAGAGTTAAGCAAAGAACCCAAAAAAACTCCTGCGAAGCACGACAAGCTGAAGGGACGAGAGTGGTGGCGTGAAGAGTATTGTGAGGAGCTTAGTAACAAGAGCCGAGAATTTAAGAAAGGGTCGAGCATGAGACTTGACCGTAGTCGTAGCAGCCAGAGGCACAAGAAGGACGATTACACCAAATGGATTCGGGACTTCAGTCGAGAGTTCAGTGCAGAATTAGGACACAGCAAAAATCTGGATAGTAGGAGAGAGAGTCGAAAGTCGAGGTCAAGGCGAGAGGAGTTCTGGAGTGGAGATTCATACCGAGGGATTAGCAGTACTCCAAGCATGCGCGGAACGATATGCTATGTAGCACCTGAATCTGGCGGGGCAGGATCGAACTCAGAGAAAAGTGATGTGTACAGCTTTGGCGTTCTGCTGTTAGTTTTGATATCTGGACGCCGGCCATTGCAAGTCAATGCATCTCCTGCGACCGATTTCGAAAGAGCCAACCTTATTTCTTGGGCACGCTTGTTGGCACGCAGTGGGAATGTGCTAGACCTTGTTGACCCGAATCTTCAATCGGAGTACTCTGAGGATCAAGCTGAATTGTGCATCACTGTTGCACTGCTCTGCCTGCAGAGGTTACCTATTGCGCGTCCAAGTATGACTGACATCGTGAAGATCCTAAATGGAGAGCTTGATCTTCCGGACCTCCCTTTCGAGTTTTCACCGTCTCCTCCAGGGTTCAGATCACGCCGAAAACCCTTAGCTGAATGAAGATGTGCCTGAGCAGGCCCCTGTGACCAACTTAAACACAGTCCTCTTGTCCTCTGTTGCCAAACGCCTCCGAAGCAGGATCAAGCGCTCAAAGGTCACTGACACTAAAACGCGTTCAACCAGAACGACAGAAGATGCCTTAGTGATAGTCGACGCGGGAGGCGACCATTGAACACACTTTGTGGTGTGCTGCTTCGTTGCACTTCTAGCTGATGGAAGGTGTTCTTTTTAGCGCACGTTAACATTGAATAATGAAAACTCCGGTGCAATTTTTTTTCGGGCGTCCGATTTCTTGCAGTAATTGCTCTTAATTTCTAATATATTGACCGCGGGTCTTGAACTGTTTTCTGACGAAAACGATGATATATAGATAGCAGGTCGCGACCGCCTTTCAGAGTGAGGATTGCGAAAATGGGCGGAATGAATTCTCGATACAGGTTTAAGAATTCCCCACCGTAAGAGTTCTCGTTCAAAACTGTACGTGTACAGCACTAAACTCGGACGTCAGCTTCATCGCTTCTCTTCCCAGAAGCTTGAGAACGAGAGTACTGACAATCTACATATGTTTACTTTTCTTCCAGGTTGTCTCTCCTATCTGAACTTCTCCTGAGCATATCTGTGGCGAACTTCGTGAAGCATAAACTCTTCGGAGCAGCACCTGCAGCTCATCACCGCAATCCTTGAATTTTGCAGCTGAAGGCTAGGTTCACATGTATCATGGACGAAAGATAGTTCTTGTACAGTGACTCTTGGAAAATGATTCTTTTGAAAGAGAGGTATTGACGCGGATGTTTGGGATGTTGAAAAGCTTCTGGATGTCCGTTTCAGACACTTACCATTTACTAGCATTTGACATGAAAAATTGCTCGTAAGCCTGCAATGAATTTTCAAGCAAGTTTAGCCAACGACACAGTATGAAAAATCAGCAGCTGAAATTCAATTGCAGACATTAGATTTGAATTAACCCATGTCACCGGAAACATGAACACACGTCCCAAGCACCTACTCCTCTGGCTCGTTGGGTGATGGTCATCAGGGTGAAAATGAAACCGATTGTTGGCAGATGGCCATCAACCTTCCACACACCATGAACCAGAGCTGAGTATTTGGAATGCTCGCTTCAATATTGTACTGCAGAATCAGCGACTGGTGTAGCAAGCTGAGCGACCTATGCCTTTTCCCCCTTCTTTCCTGTGCAATCCAAGTGGCCGTGCAAGCAGGACGAGAACCCAGCGGGTTGCTTGGATTCGCTCAGGCTTGGATTCACCCACCTCATCTTCCGTAAGACCAGACTCCTTCTCACAAGCCTTGCATTACACCATCACTGCTTGTTGGCTACTCCACTTCTAATACCACCCAATTTAGATTCCGCATCTCGTGCTGCACAAATCGTGTTCCTGATGAACACTCGCTGTCCAGATCCAACAAAGTGACAAATCCGATTTATAGAGCGTGACAGAGAGCGGCGAATCATCTCTCTAATACACTTCCGGGGACACGAATGCATGATTCCTGTTGTGGAAAGTTTGCTGTTGTGATTTTATTAGAATCTGTTTGATTACAAAGAGTGTGTTCTGATAAATTAGGTGGGTTGTCAGGTTCTGATAAATGTAAATTCACTATTGCGTTTTAAGATATTAGGGGTCTTTTCTCTTGTGGAGAAGGTAAGAGGTCATAAGTTTGTAATTGGTTGAAATTGAGAAGTCTCTCTTTATTGCTTTTATAATTAAAAAAATCAGTCATAAAGATGTGAAACGAAAATATGGGATAGAATATACTTTTTTCTACTATTTAACATGAATACTGTTGTTTCTTGGAATTTGTGTTAGGTCCACCTTTAAGAAATGATTTTGCAAAAACTTGGAAGTTGTGTAAGATATTACTAAAAATATGCATTAATTTAAAAATAAATATTTGCAATGATTGTTATTATCAAAATGTGTGTTGTTATATTTAGAATTCTCCTAATAAAAAAATATTTATGTAATATTTTATTCTCACTTTATAGTATTTCTAAATGCCACAATTTTTAGATGATAACTTTTCTTCACCAAGTGGAAAATATTTTATGATGATAATGATGGTATAGCATGACATGCCAATATTCTTTTGTCATTATAAGATTCTAATTTTTCATATGCTATTTTAAATGTATTAGTAAAACATATATTACTATTATTTTTATATTAATTATTTGATTTCTGGAGTTAAAAAATAAATTAGAAGATTTTTTTGGATTTAATGATAATAAAAATAATTTAAAAACTACTAATTTAATAAAAATGATAGAAATTAAATATAAATAAATTTTTTTAGAATTTTGAAGTGTGTATATATATATATATATATATATGAATGCACCTATATATTGTGCCAATTTAAAATTCTATTATAAAACATAATTAAAAACATATTCTGAATATTCCACATGCATCAATTATTAATGAGTAAATTTTCAGATTTTATATTATTTATAAAATATGAATATATTATTCATTACATTTTTTAAAAAAATATTTTAAAATTAAATCAATTCAGAAAACCTGCTTCTTTGGAATAAATTCTGATATTATTATTGAACTGTGATCTTCCAAAAATTAATTCATCTACTAGAGAATGAAATTTCCTAAAAACATCTACGACTAAAATATCAAATTATTTATTTAAATAAATAAATAAAATTTAATACTTGTTTTTTAATGATTTAGAATAATATGTTTCATTATATTAAAGTTCTATGAAGCTTTGTAAAATCTCTACAAACAAATTATATAATTAGTTCAAACAAACACAATAATTAAATTTCAAATAAGACAAGAATTATAACTACTATTCATTATCAACTTCGAATCTTAAAAAATAAATCTAATTTAGAAAAAAAATTCTAACATATTTTAATAGGAAATATAAGTGTCTTTTAAGTAAAATTGGAAGTTTCAAATATTTATTTCCTAAACACAAAGACAAGATTTACAAATAGAAAAATAAAGAACAGAACAAGAATTAAATAAAATAAGAAAATGATCTATATATATATATATATATATATATATATTATTCAATCAATCCTAAATATTATGTATTATAAATTAAGATTTTTTTGATACATTTTTAATATAATGCAAGATAATTTTTTTTTTTAAAAAACATAAGTATATAATTTGTAAGTATTTATATTTTAACATATTAATATTTATAAAGCTAAAAAAAATATAAATGACATAACTCTAATAATGAACTTCAATTTAGATGCAATAAAACTAAAAATATTTTTACCCAATATTGATCAAAGAGAAAAATATGACTATGCAAAACTTTATTGTAATTATTATATCATTAAAAATATAGTAAGAACTAGGGAATATTTTAAACAAAGTATTTCTTATATCAGAATAAATTTCAGTAAAAGGTAAATTCTCTCATAATAAAAGATGCTATCGAAAAGATAATTTGATCTAAATAATTCAAAATGAATAAGACAATTGAAATTAGAATAGTCTTTTGACTTTTTTCAGAAACAAATTAGAAGATCATCATACCTTACTTTTATAATTTTTTAAGATTTAGAAAAATTATTTGTATGGACAAGTATTATAAAATATTAGCTCTTAGTGAATAAAAGTATATCCATTTTTTTTAGTTCCTAATTATTAATTTTTTAGTTTACATAATAGAAAAAATAAAATTATTTTAATATAATAATAAAAAAATATAAAGAAAATTTATAAATTCACAAGTAAGTTCTCTTGAAACTAAAAATAAATTAATTGATTCCTAATGAAACCGTTTCATACACTCATAGAATTTTAAAAAATTAGAGTAAGAATTATTTAATATAAATTCAAAACAATGTAGCTTTTTTATTTTGGTTTTAAACATTATACAAATATCGTATTAAAAATTCTAATATTATAATCATAAACCTAATTTTGGAACCATTTCATTATTTATTTAAATAAAACTTAATAAGTTGGCATATTTAACAATGTATAATAGATTTTTTATATTCTTAATGAAATCTCATATATAAATTACTGTATATATCTTTTTACTTTTGTATAAAACCAAATCTCTTAAAAAGTAAAAAATAAATGAACTTTCTTTATATTTAATGTATATTAAATAATTTAAAAAATAAATATTTATTATTATTATTAAAAATAGTAAAAAAATAAATAGGATCTAAATAAATGATACTTAATTACTATTTACATCATTTTTCAAATAAGGTCTAAATCTATTTGCTTCTATACTTACTTGGTTTTGGCTCAACATGTGATTGTGGTTTTATCTTTAAAACTACATAAAATGTTTGTTAGCCTGATGTCAATATCATATTACTGTGTCACAAACAATCATTGTTTTTACATCCATTTAAAAAGGTTTTAAAATTTACTACCTTTTAGTCTTATAACTTCTTGTTTTAGCTATTGGTGTTAAATCATTCTTTTATTGTTTTTGTATAAGAATTTATTATAAATTTTATTATAGAATTATTGTAGTTTAAATTATTATTATATATATATATATATATATATATACACATACATACATATACACATTGTAGTCTAACTGAACTTAAAGATGTGGTCTATTCTACTCCAATTTAAATACTAAAACTTATTGCCATTATTATAATAAAAAATATATTTTAAAACAAATTATACCAAAGGATATTTGATAAAAAATTACATAATTTAAAATATTCTTATACTGATTCTTAATAAAAATAATTTATATTAATAATTCAATATTTTGTGATATTTTATACTATAGTTAATTTTAACATAATATTCTACTTTTAATAAGGAGTAAAATAGTTTATAATAATTTATATTGCAACTTTAAAAATTTTATCGTCAATAGTATTTTTTACTTTAAAACATTTCCAAATTAAGTTATTTAATTTTTATAATGCCCACAAAAGAATATTATAACAATTGGATATTTTTTTATATTAAAAATGCGATTTATGATACTTGATTTGGTTTTCTAAGTATTGAATCTTTTAAACAATATTTTCCTCTCAAGTCTTTTTTTGTACTAAGATCCATTAAAATTAGGTAAATATTAAATTCAATTAAATTATGAGTAATTTAAAAATTTTAAAGAAAAAGAAATATATATATTTTTTTCATTTTTTATATGCAAATTTTTTTGTGTCTTTGTTTGCTTTACAAATAAAAAATTATGTAATTTGCTATATAATTGAGCTTATAAGAAGAACAATGTATTTCTTTTGACATAGTCTTTTAATAAAACCAATTCTTAAATTACAAATTTGTATTACCATATTCCTTGAAATTTTATAAAACTAACTAACAACTACTTTGAAAGTGTTTCTTCTTATTATATGCTAATTTACATGCATATCAATTTTATGATTTATATTGCTATAGTAGTAAAAATTAAAGTATTATCAATATATATATATATATATATATATATATATATATCTTTTTAGAAGCAATGCTTATGACTAAACCCCATATCATAGCATCAATATTAACTATAGAAACATATTAGAAAAAATAGATAAAATAAAGAAAAAACAAACAAACCAAGTGATTATTTCATTATTACTACTATGTGCAATATTATAAGTAACAACGTTTCTTGAAAAATCAAAAAATCAGAAAAAAAAAAAAAAAAAAAAACTAAGTTGGATTTATACTTTTATTGTAAAAATTATTATACCTTTTAAAATATTTCATTAATATTTAAACTAAATATAAACACAAAAATTTAACAAGTGCCATAACATTAAATTAATTTCAGAATGAAAAAAAAAAAAAAAAAAAAAAAAAAAAACAACAACAACAACAACAACTACATTAAAAAAAAAATTGTGTTCATTTAAAGAAATTATCTTAAATGTATAAGGTATTGCTAATGCCACAACAATTTTTGCTACTACTACCACAACTTGCTATCCACTTGACATATTTCTTTATTTTTTAAAATTTTAATAAAAATATTTTTAATTTTTCTAATATGTATTTTTTTCAAAATACATAGAAAAAAATTAATAATAAAATTAATACATCAATAAAATTAAGAAAGTATGAGGTGGATGGCAAGTTGTAGTGTCAATAGCAAAAGCTATTCTAACATGTAGTGGATGGCAAATTGTGGTGGCATTAGTTATACCCAACTTATAACATGGTATAGATGTGATGTACATAATCAAACAAAAAAGATAAATACTATTTAAATTGTATAAAATATTAAAACTTGGTACAATACATTCAACTGCCACTAATTGCAAATAACTTCATTTCTTGTTTTAAAAAAGTGCATCACTTCTAACACACTTTAAATCTTGTTTAAGATCCTACCACCATTTCCTTTACTTAGAGACCAGATCAATCAAAATAAAAACTTGGGTACATAAAAAGAACAACTAAAAGTTTGGGTACATAAAAAGAACAACTAATTTATTGTAGCCTTTATTGAGTACACAACAACTAAGTCAAATCAGGCGTATAAGCCAAAAGTAAGTTAAACAATACCATTAAACGTTCACACATTTTGCACGTCAAAGACCACGTCCACAATCACCACCAATGAACTCACCACCCTTTGAGCCGTGGTTTGTTTTTTTTGTTTTTTTTGTTTTTGGTGTCTGTTTAGTTTTTGTTAGCGTTTGTAACAAAACCAAATTCTTGCTGAAATCTCGAAGCCCTGTCCTTCAATGACCCATACAAACACATTCCCTGGCTCACACACTCGCTCAAGTCAGGAGTGAAGCCGGTGATGATCTAGATAGATAGATGCCTCTCAAACCGTGCACCACTGTCCCACCACTGGGAGAAGCGCAAGATCTTTCAATCAGCTGGCCTCGGAGGTTGCTCCCCCCTGGCTCCGCCATTGTCTTGCACTGGCTCTGTAGAAAAAGAGGAAAAACAAAAAAAACAAAAAACAAAACAAAAAAGAAACAAGAAACGGAGGAGGAGGAGGGGCTTACTCTACCACCAGTGCCTGGGGTGTCGCGCCGCCAGGGTCCACACCCGCGGCCCACGCACCAGGCGTTGCAGTGGCGTGGCGTGGTATGGCATGGCGCTCAAGACAGATGATGCGTACCATCGCCTCATCAGCCAGCAGCGACGCAGGTGCGGTTTAAGTTACAGACCCGAGGCCTGGGGGCTGAGGTTTCTTCTACCAGGCGCGGAGACTCGGGCTGCGAGATGCCCGCATCGTTAGTGGCGGATCAACCCCACGTCCACCCTGTGAGCACATAAACACGCGCATTGAGATTTGTGAAGGGACAGGAACCGCCGACGGCGATAATTCAAAGCAGGACGGACGAGCGGAACCCATCACCTGACTTGGGGGGCTCGGTGACTCTCCCCCTAGTTTCTCGTTACCACGTTGAATTGTACAGGGTGTACCGACAATCGCCCCTGTGCTTCGTTCCCTCGAAGTCCAGATCCAAGTCCTGTTCCGCAGGGCTATAATAATCCGGCTCCCTTGCACGTCGGAGGAATGTGATCACGGGTGTGGGGTAGATTGCACTCGGCGAAGTGTAGGGGGATTTCTCGATATAGTATACAACGTGGCTCACCGGTGGTCGAGGTCGGGAGAGCAGAGAGACTGAGAGTTGCCAGAGACAGAAGGCAGTGAGGAGGTTTCGAGTGGTGAGTCGTGGAGCTTGATTGTTGCGGGGACTCGAAGTTGCTGGTCCTTTTTGGTGGGAGAGAATGGCGATGCACTACTATAGCAACTGGAAGCCCTACATGGGCGTTATTAACTCGCTTCAGGAAGACGATTCGTTGCTTGATTGGGTGAGTATATTGGTTACCCTTCGCTGTTTAATTTCGATTTCAATTCTTCATTTGTTTGCTATAATATTGCTCATGGAACGCGTTTTCTTGTGATATGGAGGCTGGGCGTTTTCTGTTTTGGTGATGGCCTTTGTAACGTGATGCTTTGCTGATAGTTGAATGGTGTTGGATCCAGTGGTTTTATCCCAACAAATTCTACCTCCCTGATGTTCGGGCGGAGACGGTGAAGGTGGATGGTAATGGGGACGGCAAGGGAGATGGCAAGGGTAAGGGAAAGGGTAAGGGAGGAGAGAAATCTGGAGATGGAGGTGGAGACAGCAAAGGCAAGGGAGGTGGAGAGAACAAGGGAAGTAGCGGGGATGGTAAGGGAGATGATAAGGGAGATGGTAAGGGCAAGGGCAAGGGCAAGGGAGGCGACCAAAAACAAGACAACAAGGGGCCGAAGGTATAATGTGGCTTACCTACGAAAAGCGTCAAAGTTGCTGTTCCAATACTATTTTACCTCGGGTTTTTTCCGTTAAGAGTCGAGTCTTTCTCAGTAGTCTGGAATTGCAGCGTCATCTTGCCGAATTCTGTCTAGAGAATGCCGGCAGAAATTTTGTACTACGTACATCCCTTATTTTTTCCAGCATGTGAAATCTGCGGTCATAATCTTCACTGCACTTAACTTACTCACATTTAACTATGGTTGTGGTGCAGATCATGGAGTTGCAGGTGGACCTGTGCTGCGAAGCGTGCGGCTATAAAGTGAAAAAGAAGATTATGAAGTTGGAAGGTGATATACTTCAAAAATCCTTCTTCTATATGCTCCGTGCTTCATTTGTGCCATGATATGATTCCTGCACCTGCTTGTGATGAAGGTCTCGCATTATACTAAACAACTCCCACTGGATTTTTGCAGACGTTCAAACCGTCGTGGTTGATGTCGTGGAGAAGAGGGTAACAGTGAAGGGAACAGCAAAGCCGGAGGCCGTGCTCAAGCAGGCACAAAAGGTGAAGAGCGCCGTGATGTGGCCTCAGAAGAAGTAGCATGAGCAGAAGAAGAAGATCTAGAGAACCTTTAGACTTGTTGGTCAAAGAGTTTGCACATTAGCATATTCCAGCTTTGACAAGTGGAGCTTAAGAAATTAGCAATATCCTGCAGACCACTTTTCAGTTACCTTCTCATTATGAGGTACTGAAACATTATGACACTGGCTTCAACAGACATATTGTCTAAAGAAGTAATCGTTGTGAAGAAGGCACGGAGTGGTCGGATGAGAACTTCCAGGCTAATTCAACAAACAAAAGTTGTAAGACAGGAACAAACACAACGGATAGCATCACATGCAGCCGTATATAAAATTCACTCTACAGGACGGTAAATTACTCAGCTCTAACACGACTTTCTCCAATATATACTAAATTTGCATACATCTGTATGTAAAAAATCGGTTGCTTTGCGGTAAATTCGCCATGCAGTCTTCTCTATATTGGAACAAAACACGCTGTGTAGGCATGATTGCGTAAACTGTGAGCCTGAAGTCACGCCGCTTTTCATCGCAGCCCGGCTCACTCCTGTTGGCTATGACACGGTGGTCGTCATCCATGATTCCCATCTGATGATCTATCTTAGCTAGTGAAGTCCTCAAGTTCCATGTCCTTGCACTGAACAATATGTACAAATTTCAGTGCAAGCACATATTAGAGTCCGCTCAACCCCATAGAGGATCACGATCAGAAGCACCACGTGCAGGTGCTAAAATTAGTGGCGCGACACATGCCATCATCACCATGAAATCCCATTCACTTAGGACAACCACATCCTTGTGTCGAGGAATCTATTGTTAACTTACCCACCAGGAAAAAAGAACACGAAGAAAACAAAAACCTTAAAAACACCAGACATGCCACTAGAGACAGTCGCCACAGGATCCACATGAAAGGATGCTTCTTCGGTGCACCTCCATACAAGTATCCCGCTTCGAATGTGTCTTCTAAATCCCTTAGTTCAACAGTTAAGCGAGAGCTTAAAAGATTAGATGGAATGGCTTCAGTGGTCCCCACAAACTAAATGTAGAATCTGCGCAGGATCACATATATGGTGAATCGATCCAATGCTGCTTCCAGATTGCTAGAGGCCTGGAGAATCAATACCATTTATGATGCTTCATCGGTGCACCTATGCATAGCCGGAAGATCCACCCAGCATTCCTTTGGCCTTGAATGCTGCCAACTCTACCGACGAAAAATCGATACTCTACAGCATTTCTGTTTTGCTTTTTTATTCACGACAAATGAAAGATTCATTGCTGAGACACACCGTGGCGAGGTGTACTGTGTGTTGTACCTCCGACCCAGAGTAAGTTGTACCGATCAGAGGTTAGAATAAATATAAAACTGGCAACTAAGGTTCATCAATACCAAATGAATTTGTACAACCAAGTGGCAACTAAGGGTCATCAATACCCAATGGATATGTGCAATAAAGCGATGTTCTCCACTAGAGCATGACTCCATTCATACCTCAAGTTTTGTCGATGGCTTCAAGAAGCTAAAAACTCCATAAAGTTTTTGGCTTTTTTAAAGAGTATTTGAAACTAGAGTTATAGTTAAAAGGATCTTTATCTACTCTTTGTATTTTAATTTGAATATTTTGGTAGATGTTTCTCTTCATTCATAATATCAATATTTTTTTTTGGTTTTCTGATGTGGTTTTTTTTTTTTTTTTTTTTTTTTTTTTAATATAAAAACACATTTATAATTATCAAATGAATATTGGATAAGTTCATAGAGCAATTACTTCTTTTCTCTAGAAACATATAGATATAAATGTGAGTGATTCTTAATACTAGTAGTATCAAAGTAGAAAATCAATAATTTATTGTGAATACTTTTAAAATTTGAAATCAAATAAGTTGTATAATAGAAGGTGTCAATTTTGATACCAAAACCTTTGTAAACCAACACATATATTTATATATTTTTTAATTTAAAGATTATTTTTGCAAATACTTCATCCAGTAGAGAATTCTTGAAAGAAAATGTATGAGAAGATAATTGATATCTATTAGACCAATAAAGTTATAAAGATTTGAATTAATGAAGTTTAACTTCAGAAGAAATGTATGAAAAAAATTAATTTTTATTCATGCAACTCTGGTTCTTTTGGATCTTATTAATTGAACATAAATATTAATTAATTAAGAATAATTACATCAATAATTACATCAAGAATAATTACAAAGTATTTATAGAGAAAGTGAAAAAGAAAGAAGAAAAAATGATGTTGCTACTACCACCACAACCTCCTATTTATTACATGACACTTTTGTTCTAAACATTTTAAATTAGTCAAATTTTCTTTATTCAATATGTTTCAAAACAATTAATTGAACATAAAAATTAATTGGAATAATAAAAATTCAAGAAATATGTTGAATGGGTGGCAATTTGTATTGATATTAGCAATACCAAAAGAAAAAAAATTTAAAAAAAAAAATAAAAAATAAGCAAAGCAATTATAGGATGAAATCTTCAATAATATTTTTTTTTAAGTAAATTAATGTAGAGCTGACTAAATCTTTCTTGATGAATCTTTTTTAAAATATAAATTAAGAAATATTATTTTACATTGGATCTATTTTTTTTTCTTACACAAAAATTTGATAAGAAGAAGCTATTGATTAATTTAATTATTAATGGTTTTTTTAATTGACTTTATATGAAATAATCCTTGTTAATTTCTTGATACCATACATCATAGAAAAGTGTGACATAACAAAATTTCTACTATTTTTTTAAAATGATAGAAAGTTTATATACATATATATATATATATATATATATATATATATATATACATACATACATAAATATGTATCATTTTTTATTTTTATTTTTGTAGAAATTAATTATTTGATGGAACAAGTTAGACAATGAATGACATCATGTCAAGGACAAAGACTCGATGAGGGAAAATATACACAAAAGGCTATCTCGATATAATAAATCAAAATATAAACAAGTATGTATATTAAAAGGAAACTGGAATGGCTATTGCCACAAGACAAGAAACTAAAGACTCTTGAACCTGGAACTAGGAGTAAGAAAGGAGTTGACAAGAGTGAAGAAGCCTTCACTCTTGTCTCTATATATACTATCTAACTAGGGGCTACGTGGCAACGTTCTATAGGACCTCCAATATGTGTTGACTTTGTAGGACACATGCCTTGACTTACAAGGCATGTTTTTCTACGTGTGGGCCACATAGTTAGCTTGATCTTCAAGCTAACAACATGTGTGGCACATGGCCAACTTGTTGACCACGTTTCTAATCCAAAAAGTCAATTAAAGACATCTATGAAGTCAAAGCAGCGTCTAGGAAGTTTCTAGGAAGCTTCTATATTAAATATTATAGAATTAACTTACTTTTATCTACTTTTACTTACTTCTACCTATTTCTATATGTAATTATTAGCTTACATGATTATGGCCGTGACATTACCCCTCCTTCTAGAGACGAGTTCCACGAGGAGCGGTCATCATATGTTGAGGAAATCTATGATGCGACGAATTGTATTCGCCACATACTCTGATCTCTGTTCTCTTCGAAGATGATTGATAGGGCCTCTCAACCATCGGTAGTGTCCCATACCAGGGCGGGAAGACCACCCAGTTATTTGATCATTGTTGAGGCCTTCGTAACTTCTTTCGAATAGAATATTTGGAACACCATCAGGAGTTGTTCCTACCTCTAGCAAAATCACCAAACATCGAGAGTCCCTTCCCACATCGTGATACCAAACGCGTTGTATCTCACCATCTATTCGAGGAAGAACATGTCGTTCTTGAAGATCTTCATCTGGATTGCGTCGTCTTGAAGGTTGTGACAATCGTAATGTCTCGTCCGGCAAGTCAACAAACGAAGGTTCTTGAGTTGAATCCACTGGTTGTTGGCTCTCCATCTAATTAGCGTCACAAATGCAAAGAAGTTCCAAACAAGGATAGGAATTTGAATGTTATCTTGCCTCAATCTTGTCTCTTTTATAAGAGAGATTTTCATCTTGGTTTTGATGGATGTCGTTGATGAAAAACTTTGACTTTAGCTGATGCATTTGCTAGATTCCTGGATGGCTCCCATGTACGTTCACTAATATCATATCTGCGCCAATGAACAAGATATTCCAGCTTATTTCGGCGCCGCCTTGAGTCTAATATCTCTTCCACCTCAAATTCTTCATTATAATCTACTTCTATAGGAGGCGGTGGCATTTGTCTTCTTCCTTGTATATCCACTGTCTTATATGGTTCAAGAAGAGACACGTGGAATACAGGATGGATCTTCATTGACTCCGGTAGATATAACCGATATGCAACTGGGTTGATCTGTTCAGAAACAGAAAAAGGGCCAAGCCTACGATAGTCCAACTTGTCACAAGGTCGAGTAGTCTTGATATTGCGACGAAGTAGCCATACCTTATCACCCACATTGAGTTGTGGTTGCTCCTTACGATATAAATCTGCGTTTATCTTTTGTCGTTCTTGAGCTTCCTTCAATTGCGTCTTCATTATTGCATGTAACTCTGACAACCGATTTGCCATATCTTATGCTGCAGGATTATCAACTTTTGAAAAATCAAAAGTATCAAGTCGTGGATGATAGCCATAATTGGCAAAGAAAGGTGTTTGTTGCGTGGAAGAATGTACCGTATTATTATAAGTAAACTCTGTCAATGGCAGAAGGGTTGTCCAATCATCTTGTTGGTAGTTGATAGTACACCTTAAATATTGCTCCAAGACTTGGTTTACGCGCTCTGTTTGTCCATCAGTTTGAGGATGGAAAGCCGAAGATAGCTTTATGTCCACTTTTAAAATCTTGAAAAGGGTCCTCCAAAATCTTGACACAAATTGAGTTCCCCTATCCGATATGATATCTTTAGGTAATCTATGATAGCGATAGATATTATCAATGAAAAGCTTAGCTGTTTTTTCACCTGTGATAGATTTTGTACATGGCACAAAATGTGCCATCTTGGTGAAACGATCTACTATCACAAATATAGAATCATAAGATCTTGAGCTTGGAAGATCTGTGATGAAATCCACAGAAACAGAAGACCATGGTTGTTCTGGTATAGGTAATGGCTGAAGAAGTCCGTAAGGTCGATGACGAGGAATTTTTGATCTTGAACAAATATCACATGATTGTACAAAGTCTTTGACTGACTTCCACATTTGTGGCCACCAAAAATCTCTTGATATAAGTTCCAAAGTCTTATTATATCCAAAGTGCCCTGCTGCTGGAAAGTCATGACGTGCTTGAAGAACACGTAAACGTGCTTCTCCTTCTGGAACATATAGGCGTCCTTCAAAATATAATAGATTATTCTTGAACTCGAACTTAGAAGGATCATGAGACTTGGAAGAATTATTCTCGATATCATAAACAAGAGGGTCTGAGGACATACTGGACTGGATTTGCTTGAGAA